CCTGGCAGATCAACAATTTCAATCCTTCGAAGAATTGGAAAAATTGATTGCTCCATGGATAGCGTTAAAAGAGGACTCCTTTTTTCGAGCCGGAATCCGAAAATTGCCGGAAAGATGAGAGAAAGTTGTCGCTAGCGTAGGACAATACTTTGAATAATATATCTGTAAGCACTTTTTCGCAATAAAGCTCTTAATTTTGGAAAAAAAAACGGCGGAAGAAAAGTTGTACACCTGCATATAAAACTATTGCTAAATTCTTTTAGAAATTATTTACAGATATTTACAATTTAATATTCAAAAACAAACAAACAATGGATGGTTGTTGATAATATTACTGATTTTTGCATACTCAAAAACTTTTCACTTAGATGGATCTCCTCCAACATACTCAGCAATGTTTTGGAAACCACTCCAGTCGACGAAATAATAATAGGTACAACTATAACTTTGTCTGCTTTACTTCTACTGCCAATTGCTGATACTTCCTGCTCTTTTCGCCATAACATTCTTGAAGATTATGAGAATTAGGTATACCGACATCAATAAGAAGAGCTCTTTTTCCTTTGCCTCGACAAGAATAATATCTGGTCTGTTACGCTGGACACTACTTTCTGTCAGAATCGTGCGGTCCCAGTATATTTTATATTCTTGGTACCCCAGGACTGCAGCAGGCTTATATTTATAATATATTTATATATATTTATACGTATTTCAAGACTCTGATGGACAATTTTTGGCACGTTGTTATGCCGCGTCAAGTATTCAGTAGTAGTAATATAATACACCCTGAAGTAGATAACATAATACACACTGTGATATGCTGTATAGTTTCTGTTTGTTGTGGGCACTTTCTACATCTGTCGTTGTCGATTTGTTTGCGAGCAATATATTTTAAATATTTTTTTGTTGTAATTACTTGGTCTTGAATTGCAGATATTAGTCGTTCTGTTTCTAAGAGAATGCCCGCATGTTGCGACTATAGGTTTGATGCACCAATGTCGATCTCAGGTTGCCTACCGTGTAATGTTTTTATCTTCCAGTCATTTAGTAATTTTTCTGTATGCATTGCGTCTGTTATTTCGTCAAGTTGCATGTTTCTGATATTCAAAGGTGTATATCTCTCGTCCGCTTTGAATATAGGTAAGTTAATTCGCTCGATTGCCGATTAAGAGTGATGGGCACCGTATTTCATTTGCAGTGTTCGTGTTGCTCTTTTCACGTTTTCCAGTTCCGTATCGGACCATTTTACTATACCAAAATTATACGTTAGTTTAATCACCGCAAATGTGTTAATGGCATTAAAAAGAATTTTACCGTTAAGACAAGATTTTAGAAGACTTTTAGTTCTTTGCATATAGCAGTCAGTAATTTTCCGTATCATTACATTATGATGAAGTCTTCTAGTTAGCATAAAACCTAGATATGTGTAGGTATCGTCAGTGTCCAACGCTTCTATATATTCACTGTCTGTTAGTGGGAAGTTTCGTGATACCACTTTACCACTTACCACACTGAATGTTTTCCACTTGTCTAGCCCAAAGGACTCGCATATATCTTTAGGAAATTCCTCCGTTATTTGCAATAGCTCATTAATATTGCGTTCAGATCCTGCGTAAACCTTTACATCGTTCATATAGAAGGTGGGAGAACTTAAACGGCATTGTGTCCGTGTTTTTTATTTTGAACCCAGCTTTGGATGAATTGAGGGCAGATGAGAGTGGATTAATTGCAAGGCAAACCCACAAAGGGCTTAAGCTGTCCCCTTACAAAATACCTTTTCTAATTGGTATTGCAGTTGACCTTGATATACCCTTGCTTGTTTTAATATTTAGTGTTATCTCACAAGTATTCATTCAATATTTAGCAATATTTATAATATTTGGGGCTATGTTGTGCAATATATGCGTGATAATCAATGTATGCTGTATATATATTTCTTTGTTCTTTGTTTGTGGTATGCCCGCTCCATTATAACGGCGTCTATAACTAGTTGCTTCTTACATCTCTGTGAGTTTTTTACACAACCTTTTTGCACTATAGCCAAAATTTTTTCAGCCACCAAGTGATGGTAAATCTTATTTGCTACACTGGCAGTTAATAATTTATAAAAAGTGCATATACATATATTTGGCCGGTATTTTCCGGATTTTCAGTATTATTTTTGCCTTTCGGTAACAGGTAAGTTTGCCCTTTTGTTAAAAACTTTGATATCTTTGCGTTGTCCTGTAGAAAAGATGTATAAAATTGGACAATATATACGTAAATGCTGGTCAATTTCTTTATCAAGAAGTCGTGAACATTGTCGGGGCCTGTTGCCTTCCAGTTATGCGTTTGTTTGAAGGCGTTGCTTATATATCTTTCTATTATAGTGATATTGTCCATTTCTTTAATTCGTTCGGCGTTTTTGTGTTCTTTTCTTATCCATAGAGCATTTACATTGTGTTTTTTTTCTTGTGCCCATATTTCTGACCAGAAATTTTCAAATGACTGACCTCAGGTACTTCGTGGGAGGTTGTTGTATATCTTCTTTGATGCGTCTGTAGGAAAACTTTTCGTTTCGCTGAAAAGTAGAGTTTGCTTCCTTGCGCTTTTCTGATAATTGTATATCTGCGCAGTCGATTTGCTTTTAACGCAAGTTTTTGCCGCAGTGCATCACTTAGGAGCTCAGCTGAACTATTTAATTGTTCGTGTTTATGTATTGAGTCACACGACCAAGTTGCATTCGTCCCTGGCGTACAAGACGATGTTGGGACAGACTTATTTTTAAGAGTGAATTCTGTTATTACAGTTTGAAATTCAAAATTCCGGTTTATATACAGCTCATCGGTATTATTCTGATCACTTTGAACTGGCAGATTATCCAGTATTTGACTTACGGGTTCGTTTGCTATTACGATTGTTGCTACTGTTATCGGGTTCTTGCCGAAAGTCTTCTGTGATCTCTAGCAACTTCTTGTTTTAGCTCTGCTAGTCTTCTTTCTGTTATGTACTATCGCACTTCGTTGATCGCCTATTCGTTGGACGTTGACAGCCAAATTCGGGTACGCTTGTTGGAAGGCTTCAAACAGGAGCGGTCTATATCCGCTCGCTTTCGCTTCATTTGGTGCTATTTTGTAAGCATAAGAAACTCCTTCATTTCTTCTGTCCATTTTATGTGTTCCGAGGGGAACTCAGCTCTAGTGGTTGTTGGGTCAACCAATAATGCACTCGGAGCTGATTGAGCGTTTGCCGAGGTAGTTGCAGTTTCGTTAAACTGTAGATCAGGCTGTAATGTCCCACGCCGTCCCTGATCGTTTCGGCGCTCATCCGAGGGTTCCTGTAATATATTAGAAACCAATTTGCACTCACCAGGAGGTTAGCCGTACGTCAGAGAACCAGAGAATTTAGAATAACGAGAAGCTGAGAACTTAGAATAACCCGCACGCTGCTCTTCCACAAGCTACAGCTCACAAAAATCAGAAGTCAAAGAAATTTCTGTACCCGCTTCTCACAAACATACTCTCAATAAGGCGAACAAATTTATTGCAATTCGAAAAATAATGTTCTCCAAATGCCCTCAAGCGTTTAGTTTTTAGAGTTAAGTATTGTCAAATCAATTAATAATGTATTAAAATTAGGAAATACTACACCTTTAAATAGCATTAACTAATGAGCTTATCTCATTGAAACCATGTACGCACTGCTCGCATATACGCGCGCGCACTGTTCAAATCAGTGAAGTCGATCAGAGAACTTATTTTAAGTTCTCTGGTCGATTGTGGACGAAGTACGCGCGGGGAGAACAATTCTTTCGTACATTTAACTGAATATGAAGAAGAAAAACTAATGTTCTATTTCTTTGATTCGGTACAAGTATAGAATATGCCAGCTAATTTTTATATGGTGTTGTGTGCAAGTGCTACATGGGTTTTTGGTCTTTTGCATCTTGTGCAGGTTCAAATTCCTTCCATTTATTCAAAAATATTAAATTTTTATTTTTATTTATTTTTTTAATACTTTTTGTATATTAATAATTAATATTATTATAATGAGCATAAAAATGGAAAAATTTAATTTTTGTGTTATGCTGTGGCGTAGTTAGCGCGTACGTATGCACATATACATATGTATGCATTTATATTTTTAGGGTTTTGTTTCTGGCACTGGTTCAAATTTTCTTCGAAGGAGCCTTAATATATTATCAATTATTATATATTTTTCATACCAATTTTTAATTTTGTCATTTTTTATTATAATTATATATAATAAATCTTTATTATAATAAAGAAATTTCTTGTAGATTTGTAAATTTCCATTAAATTTATATTATATTTCTATTGGTCTTACTTCTGTTGTCGTCAGTAACAGTTTTTCTTTTGCCAAACTATCAAAACTGTTAGTTTACAGCAAAATTTTAACAGAGTGGTGAACCCCTTTCTCGAGATTTTCTAGCTCTGTGTAAACAGAGAACGTTCTCTGGTGCAAACTTCAATCGAGCATCGAACAAAAAGTCCCTTTTGGGTTGCGTCTTCAATTTCGACCCCAACGGGTCTTGTATGTGCTACGCAATCCGACGTGATTAAGTATTTGGGCATTCTCATTATGTTAACATGCTCGTATTATATTAACATTCTCTGCTCTGACCGTATTCTATTTTTATTCGTTTTCAGCGTCCTCTTTGTTTCATTACCCTAACACAAGAGATGGAAAACGCTGTCTAGCGGTTGATAGCAGCAAAGAACGTATATGTAATTCGTGTTATATATATATATATATGTATAAGGATATATTATATGAATTCATATACGTTCTGGCAGAATGGAACAAAATTTTGTTTATCTATTTAGTTAATTCAATAATTAAAAATTATATAGATTTATATTTATTATAGATTCTCTACTGGACTAAAAATTTAATTAAAAGAATTGAAAAAATATTGGAAATCACAAATGCTGCCAATCTTTACAGGCTTCACGACATCTAGCGTGAATTACCAGTTGCTAAGGTTTGAGTTGTTGCAGTTGTAATTAAGTTGGAAACACTGGTTGTTTGACATACAATTTTAAATAAAAGGCTCTTAATTTTAAACTGGGGCTCGTTGGCCTTGTTTTTTAAACTCTTGTTATGGAAGACGATTTACAAATTGAATTCATGACGCTGCCACTTGAAGATCTACAAGATCACTATGGGAAATTGTTTGAGCGTTATCGCCGCATGCGGGACGATGCTGAGGCAGACACGCAGCGTATACACGAATTGAAGCGTAATCTGGAAACGGCGTATGCAGCTGAAAATTACCTCTCCCAGGAAATCGAGGAGCTAATGCAAACGCTCGCCTCAATTGAAAAAGAGAACAAAGGGCAATCAAAAGTACAAACAGAGTTGGAAGATTTGCGTCGACAACATCACACGTTATCGTTAGATTTTACAACCTTGCAGCAGGACCACGCAGCCATTTCTGCTGAAAATGTGGAGTTGCGTAAACAGTTAGAAACTGCTAAATCGGCGAAAAGGCTCAGCACTTCATCCATGGTGGATATTGGAGCGGAGGAACTAACGAAGCGAATAGCATCATTAGAGGGCGAAAATTTTGTTTTGATGCAAAAGCTGGAAGAGTTTCAGGAGAGTGTTGTGAAACATACGATGGTATTGGCTGAGCGTGAGGTAAGTTCTAATTGGTGTGTAAATACAGTTACATATGCAGTACTAATATTACTGGTCTTAATTCCATAGTCTACTAACGATATGGTAAAGTTGTAAGGCAAGACGAATCAATTAAAACCGACGATCAAATGCTTAGATTGTAAATAGCTTCGTATTTATATTTTACTTGTGGGTTGAACATTTTCCATTTAACATTTTGTGTACAACATCTGAATATCTCCTTGATTATTTAGCAAATTAATTTTACGACTATGAAAATTTTGAAAATATCGATCAATGGCGATTTCATTCTTTTGATAGATATAACACTTAAAATTTGTACATATTTACATAAAAACTGATTTATTATCGTTAAACGCGATCAATGGCAGAATGTTTAAGTTTATTAGGCTGTTTGTTGACCTTTATCCAACTATTTTTAGTATACACAAGATACATTCATTTTTTGATAGAAAACTATGAAGCTTCTTAGTATATTTTAACTTACTTATACAAGACAACTACCACAATTTTTGAATTAAATGAATTCTTCTTAAATATAAGATACATTTGAAATATGCATTTTTGCAGAAAATTTTAAGATTAATAACCATTTATCTATTTTAGGCTGTTACATAAAACCACAATTTTTTTCTTTCACGACGTACCCACCTCCAACTCTAACAGACGGGTGAGCGAAAACCAGTAGCAGACCGGACTTGCGTGAGGAAAATTAGAAGGAATTTACTTAATTATTTAAAGCACTCAGTACGTAGGTTTTGATCTAGAAAAGGGAGTCAAAGGAATCAATGTTGTTGAAATGTGTACTAAACTCGTTAAATAAGGACGTAAAAGGGTCATGCATGAAAACATTGAAAGGGGTCTAAAGTATTTAGATGATGATTATGATGATGTTTTTGTTGTTATAGTAGCGGTTCGTTAACCCCGCTTGGGGACAGGTTTTATCAATCTAAGTCGCCTATGTTATCTAATGGGAGGTCAATGAAACGTGCTGTTTCGACGGAGCTGGTCGAGAGGGAGAGAGCATGCTGGGCATACGTTGGGTGTATCTAGATGATCTTAAAGGGAAGGGGTGCAAAAAGCTCGCTAAGTAGGAATGGGCTATTGATAACATCTCTTATCAAGTTTGTTAAAAATAAAACTTTACGCCTATGAAGTATAGGCAGATTAATTAGCCGTAAACGACTTTTGTAAGAAGGCAGGTTTTTGTTCGCGTCCTAACTTAAATTTCTTATCGCGAATAGTAGAAATTGCTTAGCACAGACTGTATTTTATCACTATACAGCTGATAGTGTGATTATTTTTTCATTTAGGTAAAGGACTTGAACTTAATTTAAAAAAATCTTACAAATGACGTACTTCTAAACTGCCTACATATGAATAAATAATAGATTTATTTTTATATTACAGAGTAATATTGAAGTTCTACGCGATCAAGTGACATGTTTAGAAGAAAATCTACGCTCAAAGCGTGAAGATTTGGATGAAAAAACAATTTTGCTTGAGAGTACACAAGAGTGTTTAGCGGAGGCCAATGCAAGGTTAGCATTGCTGGAAACCAAACCCGAAGGTGTTGGTAAGTGTATTGCTAATTTAATATCGAACGAAATATTTATATTTTTTTCCTCTAAGATCGTAAAGGTAATTCGCTGTTTGCTGAAGTAGACGATCAAAGGCAAGCAATGAAGAAACTTTTAGCAGCTCAAAAAAAAAGTTACATGGATATGAAGAAAATTTGCCATGAGAGTCAGTCTGAAATAAGACGATTAAAGCGTGAAAATGTTGCCATGCACACAGAACTAAAGGAATGCAGTTCTATTTTCTGTGCCGCTGACCGTACATACCAAGGTGATAGATGATATTTGTTTTATAAAGCAAAATAAAATAAACATTTTTGCAGATAAATTGAATGAACGAATACACCAACTACATAGCCAAGTAGAAGTGTTAGAGAAACAGTTAAACGTTACCCAGGGTCGCCTTCGAGACTTGGCCAATGATAAAGGAGTGGGTTGGCTAGATTCAATGCTTAGTTATTGCAAGTACGTTTTTCTTATTTAATTTGTAAACTTTGTATTGCACGTTAGTTGGGAAACTTGGAAATTATACCGTTCAGGAGTGCTTGTTAGGTAGTGGAAATCGGGTTATTGATGTGTTAGATATTTTCAATTTAAAGAAAAGCGTTCGTTAAAATCGAAACTACTCATATTGCTTTTTAACTACTTATTGTGCATAGTATAAAAACATACGTATCACACAATCGCTTTTACTCCCCATTTATATAATTATATAGGCAAGAAACTGATGAATTGAAGAAACAACTCCATGGGGTGCGTATTCAGAAAGCTAGTTTGGAAGAGCAGTTACGCAACGTTAAACAGGAAATGACAAGGTAAATGAAAGTTAATCGATCGCAAACTTTTATGAAATTATATAAGCATTTCCTTATTTCGTTAGATGGCGTTTCGAAGCATTAAAAACGCGCTGTGTACTACTCGACCGAGAAAATATTTTGAATGAGAAAGGCATCCCATTCAAAGCGATTCACGCAATGGAATTTAACATCAACCAGAAAGAACAAGAAAACGCCCGACCGCGTATTGTTCACGCCTCACCTGGTGCTCGGCAAATTAGTTCAGATAATACTAACACAGGTCAAATACTTAATACCTCATTAGTTGGCACATCGATTGGACATCAATCAACAAGAGACAACACGCCAGCCTGTATTAATGAAGTGAAACAAGAGCCTCAGTGTATATATGAAGAAAATTCACCAATTCCTATAAAATTTGATATTGAAAGCAAAGAAAACATCGGAGTGTTTCAATATGATAATGAAACAAACGTGGGACAAATAGAAAAGCTTAATATTGAAAAATTGCATCTGCGTGAACGTAATATCGACAGTAATTCACATGGGAACGAATCAAAAATGAATGTAACGAAAGCTGACAAGAAAACACCCCCAGGATTGGACGTTCAGCCTGGTCCTTCCATTCTGTCAAAGAAACGTGACATCTTTACTGCGAAGGAAACTTTCGAAAAGAATGTTCAGTTCAGCTCTCAAGCCCCGACTGTACATGAAATCAGTGCAAACATCAGCATGGGTTTAAATTCTACTAATGATGGAGCAAATGTTGAAGCAAAACAGAAAGCTTATATTAAAGAGGTGCGCACTAAATCCAATGTATTAATTCGCCATGTAATAGTGCCATCCCGGCGCAAACCAACATAAATTAATACCACAATACCACATTACTAAATAGATTAAATGTGCACAAAGCACCTGTATGTATGCATAGCGAAGTGTTCATTTGTTAATTAGACACAGTGTTTGGAGAGATTTTCTGATCTAACTAATTGAAATTCAAATAGGGTTTTTTTATACTTTGTGTACGTTGTATTTTCCAATAATAGGGAGAGTTCCAAAAAGTCGGTTTCGCAACCGCATCATTACAATGCAACCCTCCTCTAAAAATCTGCCTTGCAACAATACTTTGCGAACTCTTGACATTTTGGAATGCTTTTGTTGCAAATAAGTTGCTTTTCGGTGAAATGGCTAAAATATGGAACAGATCACGAAAATAAGTAATATAATGTTTAAAAAAAATAATTAGCGCCAAAAACTTGCTCTCCGACGCGGCCGTTGTCGTTAAGAATTTGTGATAAAATAAAGCATCACAAACCTTAGCGATGCGCAGTTTGCTTTTGATTGCGCATCAATAACTTTACTTCGTGCGTAGACTCTCCACATGCAGGGCATAAGCTGGGTATGCTGGGGTCTGGTCTGGATAAGTAGGAGCTTAACCTCAAAGTCACGCGGGTCTCTCGAGGCAACTACAGCTCGTTGTTTGCTATAGGTGGTGATTTTACTCCGAGCTCGTCACTCACTGGAAGGGATTCCTTGAAGGTGTTGACTGACTCCTGGTGAATGACGTTCAGTGCTTGTTTGTACGCCGTCCGTTCCAGCGGTTGTTGCATGTGTTGCTGGATTGTATCCTTTAGATCTAGTACTCCCCTCCTGATGTGCCTGCGGTAGCATCCCAATAGGAACTGTTCGCACAGCAAAGCATTATGCTCCTTAACTCGTAACATAGATGCTTCGCTGTGCAAGTGATGCTCCGGCGACATCAGGAGGCTTTCTGTCGCAGTCCTGATGGCGGTGTTATGACAAGCCTGTAGCTTCTTCATCTCGTCTCGTCTCGTTCGCCCCCGGCGCCCAGATCGGCGCAGCATAGTTTACGACCGGCCCGCCAATTGCTTTATAAGTTGACAGCAAAGTTTCTTTGTCTTTACCTCAGGTGCTGCCGGCTAGCGATTTGAGCATTTTGTTGCGGCTCTGGAGTTTTGCGGTAACTGCAATGAAATTTTTGTGTCATCGAACTTCACATCTAGTTCAAGCCTATACTCTTTCGTTCAGCTGGTGAAGAGGGTAGCCGAGGATTTAGTCGGTTGTATTTTTAGTTGTCGTGCAGTGTAGAAGGGAGAAAGATCGGCAAGGTAGCATTCACTTTCGAACAGAGGTCGTCAATATCTTGGAGTCAATATCATCGGCATACGAGGTTAGGAAAACTTTTTTTTGGTGGAGAAGGGAGTTTCGAGATATAGAAATTAAACAGTAGCGGAGAGAGGACACCACACTGCTGAACCCCCTGTTTTTTTTTCTGGGTTTAAATCGGATTATTGCTGATGATTGGCGACCACTCGCAACGGTAATGAGGATTTCTCAATACCTGTAGACCTAAACGGGGTTAGGTCTCCGAAAGGGTGACAGCCCTTGGCCGGATAAAATCCGGGTCAACTCCGGTGCGTAGAACCGGCTGTCGTGAGAGTTGCAATCAATCCCGACGAGACGCGATGACCGGGTGGAAATTTCATTCGGTGATCGCGCCTTGTCGGACCCGAAGAGATGCGCGAGCTATTTTAGCCGTCTTTTTACACTGCATCCCTCGGTAGATAAAGCGAAACGACGTGTGACCCGCCGTATGCGCAAACTGCCAAACACCAGCGCGGTGCTTGATTTCTCCAGGGAGGAGGTTCAGGGGGTCATCGGGAAGGCGAAAGCCTCCAAATCCATCGGCCCCGACGGAATAAGCATGCTGATGCTGAAACATCTTGGACCAGCGGGAGCAGAATTTCTCGCGAGGGTCCTCAATCTGTCCTTGACCACCCTAAAGATACCCGACGTGTGGAAAATGGGTAGGGTGGTCCCGCTACTAAAACCGGGGAAACCAGCCAACAAAGGAGAGTC